GCACCGCCCGCGCGGCCGCATTCTGGACCAGCTGGAGCCTCCGGATACTCCCCATGGGGAGCCCCATGTAAAGAGCGTTACAGTAGTCCAGGCGAGAGGTGACGAGAGCCTGAGTGACTGTGCGCAAAGCGTCCCGGTCCAGAAAGGGGCGCAACTGGTAGATCAGGCGCACCTGATAAAACGCCCCCCTGGTCACGGCTATAGTTTTTAATCTTTTTGGGGTCTGTGCCTTCTTTTGGAATAAGAGATATAATGGCTTCTATCCAGGAGTCTGGTAATTTAGATTTCTCCAACATATATACATGGATTGGGTACGCACCTACGATAGGAGGGAACAGGGAGGCAAAAGTCGTTTCTTAGGTGAAAAACTGCGGAATAAAAGTACACAATATATAAGTTGTTCCTTAAAAAAAAACTGCTTTTCAAGAGAAAAGTCTGTATAACATATTATTGGAGACAGACAGCCCAATTTATTTCATAGGGATGTTTTGAGGAAATACTCTCCTGGTTACCCTGAGCAAGTGAATAAAAAATAAAAAATAAAGTTTTTAAAAAGTCATCGAAGCCAGTGAAAATATTTAAAAAGTGAATGAGTCTTTAATGCCCCCACATCCCTCATTTGATGCCTCTTTTGGGAGGGCCCTTACACCCCAGACCATTAGCTTTCAAGGAGCAGAATCATTGCATTCAAGGTGTGATTGATAAGGTTAAGCCTATCAATAGGGTTAACATTAATGCATAATAATATATTTAATAATGGTATTTAAATTAGATTGTACTTCCTCTGCATATTTTCCTTACGAGTGATGTTCCCCAACACAGTAATAATCTAAACAAAAGGGGGCTTAGAATTGTATAACCAGGGCTTTTTTTGTCATAGAACGCCAAGAACGGAGCTCTGGCACCTTTTTTGGATAGAACCTTGTAGGGTAGGCAAGGCGGGTTGTATGACATGTGTGAGTTCCAGCACCTTTTATTTTTACAAAAAAAAAGCACTGTGTATAACCAAATTGTCATTTTTACAAAACCATCATCCAAAGAACCTTGGTTCCCAGTGCTTAATGCTAATAATGTTTCTCAAGTGCTTGTTGTGAACTGGCTAGCTGGCATTTCTGTGCTAAATGTTTTTGTTAAGTCCTGGGAATAATGGCGCTTGAGACGATTCATCTTCAACAACTCTTTATTGTTTGCTCCACTCTACGACCAACGACAACCCCAGAGGCGCGCAAGCCTCTATATATACTCTCCAATCCCCGGACAATTCCCACCAGTCACAAGGCAGTCCTTTCCCGCCTTGCGCATGCGCGCAAGGCCGGCGCCGGTCAGTCTGGTCTCGGGCAGCTTTTGCAAATGCCCGGGACTCTTGCAACTTCCCGCGCCTGCTTCTGCAGGCACGGGACACAACACCCCTCCCCCCTAGATAAAACAATGCTGCGCCCGTCATGGACACCACCTTTGGTAGAAGGATGTGAAGGAGCCGCCGTAACGTGGCAAGTCATGCTGTCTAGTAGAAACTCCTTCAGTCGACCCAGGCAACTCGTAGCGATGTAGCCTTTATTTCCGCACGCTTCTGGCGTCCACCGCGTCCGAGGCAATGAAACTCAGCTGGGCCCTTGTCCTAACGATCCTTGGACCTTCTCCCAGCTGCTTGGTAACGCTTGTCCACCTTCGTGTGGATGGTTGCTGCCACTGGAGCGCTTCGAGTGGGCCGCAAAATCTTGGCCACTCCACTTGCAGATTCTTCTGCTGATTCTCCAGCTCGCTGATCCCTCTGTAGAAATGTGTGTCTCCAAGCCCTGATCGAGGATCAGGGTTGTCGTCTGCAGCCGCACGCACCCTCCAGCGATTTCGTACTGGCAGGATAACGCTGACTTCCACGGCGTTTCTTTCCCGGACTTCTTTGGGTGAGTCTTCAAGCTTTTCTTAGCTGTAGAGACTGTATCCCACCCTCGTCGCCAGTGTTAAGTCCTGGGAATAATGGCGCTTGAGACGATTCATCTTCAACAAGTCTTTATTGTTTGCTCCACTCTACGAACAACGACAACCCCAGAGGCGCGCAAGCCTCTATATATACTCTCCAATCCCCGGACAATTCCCACCAGTCACAAGGCAGTCCTTTCCCGCCTTGTGCATGTGCGCAAGGCCGGCGCCGGTCAGTCTGGTCCCGGGCAGCTTTTGCAAATGTCCGGGACTCTTGCAACTTCCCGCGCCTGCTTCTGCAGGCACGGGACACAACAGCTTTCATTTGTTACCAGGCTAGTGTTGAAGGAAAAGTCTTCATTGTGGTTCAGTCCAAGCCGGGAATAAACAACATGGCAACTGCTTTAGAAAGAAGGTTGCAATTTATTGAAGAGGAGAGCCAGACAGAAAGATGGCTCTGGAAGAAAAGAAAGCAAGCACGCACATGCAGGGAATGGGTTTTTATACCCGCTGGGGCTTTTGTTTGGAGTTCCTGTTCCTGTTTGAGGCTTTGTATTTCCTGTGTCATATATTCTGACCTGTGTCCCTTTGGCATCTGTCGGTTAATCCTATTATATCCTGTCTTAGAGTTTGGGTGGGGTATGTAGATTTTAGGTGTCTTTGTCTTCTTAATCTTCTAGCTGGGGGCCTCCAACCTTCCTGGATTATTTACATCTGCATTTCTACAGAGCTGGTTTCTGCTTGGGGGAGGGAGACCTGGGGCTATTAAGAAAACTAGACATGCTTTTCTGCCTCTTTAAGATCCTTTGAGGAAATATATTTTTCTGCCCTTTTAATATTTCCTTCTCTGGGGGGCTGACTTCCTACACTAGGTAACATCTTCAGCAGAGTTTAGGGGATCCCTAAACTCCTCTGAAGATGTTACCTAGCCTGGTAACGAAAGGTTTGGAAACCAACCCACGAGCTCGGAGAACGAACCTTCACCCTCATCCTACACCCGAGCTACAGATATTTGCCACTATTGCAAGGTTATGAGTTCCACTTGCTGGACTGCTTTGGGCGGAATTTCTAATATTGCTTAGAAGAAAATACATGCATATTGGGATTTATAGCTAACCTGCACAAGTTTACCCACACCGAGCTAAAAGGGTCACAGAGAGCATTGGCCAGCATTCAAGGAGGAGGAGATGTCTGAAGGAGTTGGGCATATTCAAGCCTTTGACTGTCATCAATTCACTACCCGTGAGGCATTGTAAATTCTGTAGGCAGCAAGACTACAAGGAATCCTTGAAAAACTGGAACAGCTGAAAGACGAATTTAAGCTGCCTCTGGCAAAAGATGAAGTAAATGTATGTGGAAATATTCTTTAAAAATGATTAGTGGAGCATCTTCATGCTATGGGCAGCAGGATGTGAGGATAAAGCCATCGATGCTTCACACAGATCTCCAAATTACTTCCTGCAGTGTTTCATGAAGGGGGTGAAGTGGCAGCGAGAGGCATGGAGTCTCGACATCTAGTCCTGGAGAGCTGGGCCCATTGACTTCAAGGTGCCATCTTATTCCTCATGCTAGTTAACATTTAGAATCAGTTTATGCTGCACCGTTAAATCTTTAAAGCAACTGCATCAGTAGTTACGCACATATGTATTTTAGGAAGTTTTTATGGTCCCAACTGATATAATCAGGGCTTTTTTTCTCATAGAACGCCCAGAACGGAGTTCCGACACCTTTTTGGGATGGAACCTTGTAGGGTAGGCAAGGCGGGTTGTATGACGTGTGTGAGTTCTGGCACCTTTTTTTTTTTTTTTAGAAAAAAAGCACTGGATATAATTTTCAGTTCTCCGATCCTTAGATTTTCCCCTTTGAGAGACAGACTGATATCAGTGTTAAACGGGAATAAATCCTAGGGCACTTGATATGTTTCTGAGGAAACATATGAATCACTCAAAAGGTTTTCTCCATTTTTTATTAAGAAGATAACCAAGCATCACATTTAAAACTGCAAAGCAGTATTCAATCATTCTTTATTATTAAAGGTCTGGAATAGTATATTTAAATATTAGATCTTTGTTAGAAAAAAAGCCAAAAGATGTACAGAGGAATAAAAAGATAGCATTCATCTCTAAGTTTGCATCATTCATCATCATCATCATCATCATCACCACCACCTTCATCACTGTAATTAAAATATATATTTATCTCTTTAAATCATTATATTGATTTTTATAAAGTGCATGACAATTTATAACATAAGGCAACAAAATGGAGATGATTTGTGTTTCTCATCTAGTAAGCTACCCTTCTCTACTCTTAACTGTACAGGTTTGGCTTTTACATGCAGAGGTGGAAAAAGAGCCCTAATGTCTTTCAGAACAGAGCAGCTTTGATTCAAATGTCATTGATATTAAAGCCTCCAAAACGAATTCACATGAAATATTTTCAGCCTTCACTAAATAGCCTGCCTCATCATAGTAACTTGACTGCTGTATTCAATTGAGCGCACAGAATTTGAGAGGCTGATTAGTTCCACTCCTCTCCTAGGCAGAAAAGCTTTTAACTATTCTTCTCTTCCTCTTCCTCGGCATGGAGATTATTTCCCGATATGGGATGGATCCCAAATCTTATATCCATGACTGCAACACCTGTAGGATCTTGTTATTGATCTAACCATGAAAAAAATGACAGAAATGTCTAAGATACAGAAACAAACACCCCCCTATAGCGAATTAGCGTGCTTATGTTCTAGCAGCATTTTAAATGGCAGACAAATTAGCAATGTGTATACTGTGCATTCCATATTGAGCACCTGAATTTTCTTCTAAACGTCTCTTTCGATACTTGATGCCACCATTGAGCTTAAATTTGCCCCAACTCCCTTCTGTGACTCTACTATGTATTTGCTGAGGTGAGTTTGACTTTTAAAAGTGTTCTTGACTCAAGTATATGGTGGAAACATGAACTCAATCCTATCTTTAAAACTGTTTATCAGTTTAGATGCTAAGATGGAGTACAAATATTAATTAAAAAGCTCATTCAAATGATCAAAGCTAAGGAGGGTTCATTGAAGTGATGATGCATTTCTGCAGTTGAAGGAGCAAGGTTTTAAAATGGAGATGCTATATCTAAAATGGTTAGCTTGGATAATGAGAAATCCAATGTATTTTTGGGTTGCAAAGGTTCAAGCTTTCTGGTTCTAGCTTTAATGTGTGTCCCTGCAAAAGGAGCTAGCTGAAGGAGGGGCAGCTACAGGCATATGCTCACAACACATCCAACCACAGGGACTTGTTGCATGTGGGTGGGCTGCCTTTGTGCCAACTCTCAGAGAAGTACAGAAGGAAGTTAAGGCTTTGATGGAATCTTCCAATCCTAGTAATTTAGGCTAATTTCAGAGTAAAACAATCTAATCATTCTAGAAAAAGATAAATTGCTTTGCAGCAAACTCAAGGCACTTTCACAAGAATCACAGCCTAGTCTATTACCCTACTGACACCTAGTGAGCAAAGGGCAGATTTCAATCCAAATGGGAAATGTCTAGCTCTATCTTCTTATATCGTCTGTAAAATCTAACCAGCACACTCTTTTTTAAATGCTTATCTAATCTGTTTCTATCTGTGCAGAATAGTTATTTTACCTGATATATTAAAATATGTAGCGATGTATAGAGTGCAAACTGCTGTTATCACCAAGAATTAAAACCAAACAGAACTACACAATGATGAATGTTCAATATGTCTTTAAAGTAAGCAATATAATCTACTACCTAAGTTTCAGCAGGAGAACATTCACCTATAATCATGTTTTCTCTTTCAAACTGACAGTTAACTCATCTTTTAATGGTGCAGTCTTAATAAATCTCTCACCCAAATGTTTGTAGACTCCTTCGTCAAAGAGAAATTGGTCCACATCTTATTTCATATTATTTGGGACCAATGCAACAAAAAGCTACCTAAACCACACATGCTCTTGGCAAAGTCATGACTGATGACAAGATCTTTTCCTTGTCAACAAATGGCTCATATGTACTTAATTTTTCTAGAAATCAAGTAGCCCAGAGGTTGTCAAACTTAGAGTAAACATTTTACCAGTATAAAAAATAAATTAGTTTCAGTCTCCTGAGGATGGCTAAGAACTGACTCAAACATTATAGCCCCAAAATGGAAACAACTGAAAATTGCTTCTTCTCCATCAGATAATTAAGCTGCTTTGTACGCAATTTAATCTGATCATAGGAATCCTTTCTACAATCCATTAAAAAGTGATACCAAACCATTTTTCTGAACAAACCAAGCATTCTTGGATAGACTAAAAGTCAGTATTATATTTCTGGATTATTCCTCATCAACTCTTAGTAATTAGTAGTGTCAGACACTGTTTAAGGCTGAAAGCGGCAAACATGGCCATCGCTTTAATAGTGCAGAGATTCTGGCAGGAACCTGGTTTTTAAGAACGTGTCTGTATTCCCCACCAAGGAGCACATGATTAGAACCAAAGTCTTTCAGTTCCTATTATAGATTATTAAGGGCTAAAAAAGTGCTAGCCTACTTCTATGCATTTGACAAATTGCATTAAAAAAACACCCAAACCCAAGATGGTTATTTATTCTAACAAATCTTTCTTCATTTGGCTAATAAATAGATATTTTTTTTTTGCTGCTGCTGTTGAAGCATCTTATTTATTAACTAAATTTATTCATTAAATTGATGTGCTGCCCATCTCGCTGTTGAAGTGACCTGTTGATATTTGGCAGGAAATGATAAGAAGTGCATTATATTCCATAAATAAGAGCACTTTGATATCTCTTGTGTATTACAATTGTACAGGACTGAAAGCTTTTACTATCCTATAGAAAAGAGAATATACCCAGGTTCCATTTTTCATTCCACTCATTCTCTGTGGGTGCTCTTGCACAATTGGTGTCTTTCTAAGGCCACGCTACAGAGGTTTCAACTGCTGGCTTGAAAAGCAATTATTTCCTTTCATTCCTGCAAAGCAGCAATAGAGAAACCATCCAGTTTTGAAAGGCAGGTGGAATAAGATGAATCAGTTGCTCCTCAGCAAGAGACTGGAAACGTATATCACAAGTGTGGCTCTGCAGGTAGCGTGGGGTGAAGGGGAGAGAAGAAATCAATTTCTCACTGACAGAATATACACAACCTCACGAGGGGTAAAAACTTTCAGTCTGTAGCCAGTGGAAAGCTGGGCTGATTCCCCCCCCCCCCCGACTCTTGATTTCCATGTGCTTTTTCCCCCTCAGTGGCGACTCAGGAGATTTCATTGCCAAAGACTTCAAGGACCAGCGGAGTGAGCTGCATGCTATGTTCGGGCAGGAAGGAGAGGCAGCGATATTGCTTGGAATGCTCCTCATTCAGGCTCCTCAAGTCTGTGAGCTTTTGGATCATCTTGGGATAGAGCAAGCGGTTGCCTGGAGGAGGGTGTCGGCAAAGAATGTAGGTCTGCAGGATTTGTGAAAGACGGTCCTGGATGGACTCCACCAGAGCTGTGTCCTGAACGCCAGGGCGGTCTAGGAAACAAAACACATCACACGTTTTTATGTGATCGAGGTAGGCAGTAGCACCAATGACATTTCACCCTTCTCCTAATGGTATTTTTGTACGTTCCCTTAATTCCTCTCCTCCGACTCTAGGGTCACAAGTTGAACTCCTTCAAAATCACTTAAAAATAAATAATTCCGGGTTCGCTCTTGTATCCACATATCCATTACATGTCATGTGTCAAAATCAGAAAAGGAAGCATAAAAAAAAGATTATTGGAAAACCTTAAGATGAGGTATCAATGTGGCAGAGGTTAAACACACGTTTTGAAAAAAGAAAATAAAGTGGCAATGAAAACAGCAATTTGTTGGAAGAGAGGCAGAATTTTTCTTTCAATATTTCAACTGTGAGACAGCTCGAACCTTTTAAAGATGTTTTTGCATTAAAAATAAAACTGAAGTTTGGCATAAATCACAAACCAGATCTATGTAATCACATCCTGTTGTCATCTTGTTGTTATCTCTAATTCTCTGCTACTTCTTGTTATGCTCAGAAAGAAAGACACAACTTTTTTGGGGTAGAAGAATGTACTACTGTTGTGATTTTGCTCAATCGCTGGAATTTTCTACCAAAAGATATCAAAGGGGATGCTATTGAGATACCTGAAGAAGTTAATGACTGTTTTCTTGTGTCTGCTTGAAAGAAAACATCCACTTAATGGTTAAGGCGTTGCTTTAATTTTCTTAGCATTTTGGGTCAAGCAGAAATAGGCTTCCGTCAGAAATAGTTAACTCTTGTAACAGGTATGCAATGCTGATCAGATATTAATCATAAAAACAATCAAACACAGAATGCAGTGCAGGTAAGGATGTTTTCAAACAAAGGAATTCTTTTGCAATTGCAATTGGTATTCTACAGGTAGTTAATTTGTAACTTTCCCCCATTATTCTGGCCTTTTTTTCTTACCGCCTTCAATCCATTAAAGAGGACTGATGCCCATAGAGGAGAGTGGCACATGCTATCATTCTAAAAGTATTGCCAAGGGCGTTCCAGATGACAGCACAACCCTGGCATTCATACAAGGGGGAATTGTCTCTTTGTTGGTGACCTGTAATTTTGAGACAGGCCTGTGCCTACTATTCTCCTAACACATTGTAAATCCTCCAGGCCAGTTTTTCCCATCTCTTCCATTGTAACCAGCAAATGCAAACAGATGCAAGAGGGACCATAGCACAACAAACAGGACAAAACTTTCTTAAATAGCATATATCCTCACTAATAAATTATAGCATCTTGTAAGCACACACACACACACCACTACCCCTCCACTATCCCAGGCAGGGGAGGGACAGTCAAAGGGATAGATGTGGCCCGCTTGCCATAAAATGTCTGTTGTAACATCATCCAACAAATATAGTTTCTGACAAATAAGTAGCTTCCTCCAGCATCATAATCATGAGTTTAATGTTTAATTCCCACATTGACACACAGCAAATATATTTAACAAAAATTCTCAAGCCACCTTTCTCTATTTAGCAAGCTAATTAGTCTCCTCTGCTCAAAATTATCCAATAGTAGTGCGTTTTGTAACAAATAAGCTCACAAATCAAGTTTTCAGCAAATATTTTGTCCTTTTTTGAGGGGGGGGGGCCCAAATCAGCATTCTATATCCCTGAATCGTAATTTCAGAACCATTTGGCCATTAAATTGTCAACCGACACACTTCTGGAAAGAGGCACCGTGGATCTCCTCACTCTAGATTTCATTGGTCGGAAAGACGCTTGACACAAATTGAATGGCAAACATTCCTAACAATCCACATTGTGTAGGGAATGAATTGAATTGCCAAGGTTTCAAAAAGTGCCAGATCTTTTGTCAATGAATTCCTGCTCAATGTATTAAGCAATACTGCAGACTCCCAGGCTTGGTCTCCAAAAGAGGCTGTGTATCTAACTTCTTTTTATATGCTGCTTGGGGAGTGGTATTTTAACAGGTCTTCAGAGATAATACAGGAAAATTTCCTATAATCTTTGTCATTTGCCATCCTTAAGCCTACTTCATCCTTTCACTCTTGTTCCAGCCTGCTTATCACAAATAGGTCACAGCAGCCTTTTCTTAAGTCACTCCAATTTAATATCTTTTTACTCATCCTGTGGCAGGTTGCTAGAAGAGTTAATCAGATTCTATTCAGAGACGTCAGCTGAATCCCCAGACTATATATTCAATTTAGTTGAAGTCTGTCCGGGCAAGGATGTAATCTGTCAGGGGGGGAAATGCACTCTTCCCTTTCTTATTTGGCAGCCATATCATTCTATTTAGATTCAATCAATTCCATCTCGACACCATAGGTTTAGCCTCTCAATCTATTCACATGATGAAAAACAATGTTCAATTATAATCCGATTACTTTCATAAACATGCAGATTCAAGTTATTTGGAGCCTTAAGAGTTACCTGGGCCCTTTTCATCTGATCTCTGATGAAATCACCCAACTGTTGTCATAAAAAGTGACCTGGTACTTTTTGCGGTGGTTGTGCACTTGAGGGCTGCATCGACTCACTTTAGAGAAGCATTAACCACACTTTTCACTTTACTTCATGTAGGCTTTAAGCAATTGCTCATCTATGTCTACTATAGCATGTACTGTCAGAAGTCACTGCCTAGGCAAAATATTTCCTGATACTCACAGTCCTTGTCAGCTCACTCTGTTTAGTCATCTCTGCCTTAGGGAGAGAGAGAGAGAGAGGGAGAGAATTCCATACTTGGCTAGTATTTAGAGAGTATTCTGATGTCAGAGCTCCTTACCTATTTAATCTGGGGAAAGTCTCCTACTGGCACAATGCCAGAAGGTCATAGGTTTTTAATTCCATAGCTGCTTTAATGCCATGCAAAAGAGCTATATTTATCCTGGATCTCTCTCTCTCTCTCTCTCTTTTTTTTTTCATCCTCTCACTTATTTGGAATCTGCCTCAAACAAAAGTAATTCTTCCAAGGAAGATTTGCTCAGTTTTTTTAAAAAAAACAACAAGATGTATTGACAAGAAGGGATAGTGATATAATAATGTCAGCAAATAAACTATTCCCAGTTTAGAACCATTTCCTGCAAACTAATGAAGAGGTAGTAATTTTCGCTGTTGTGAAATAGGCTGAAGGTGGCTCACTCCAAACAGAGCCTGCCTCACAGGTACAAAAGGGGCACAAGGTGAGGTGGGGAGCAGCTATCAATAACCATGAATTCCATCAGTAACGAGTGTCACAGAGGGATGGGTGTGAATGGCTGTGGCTAGCAACACTCTGTAGCAGTCTACGGAGTAGGCAAAAGGGTGTAGGTACAAATAATACAATAAAAAGTATAGTCACCTAAAACGTCAACAAAAGCAGCAGAAATCTGTACTGTGCTTTGATGACAGAACTAGCAATGTGCAGATTGTACAGCCTGCTCTCTTTTTTCATTAAAATTAAATTTGTTCACTGATCTAGTGGAGAGAGGGTTAGTCCTGTTTTTAAACACAGGTCTAGCATTCCTCCAAACTACTGATAAATGGGTTTAAAAATAGGCCTAGTATTGTTTCAGAAGAAACCTGACAATATAGGAGGCTACATTAGACCTAAGAAGCATTTTGGAAAATGGTTGTAAACATTATCTAGGCAGATGTATCAGTGAAAGCCAGATTTCTAATTTTTCCTGCAAGTCAAGTGGCCCCAGATGGCAATGCTTAGTGGCCAGAATAGAGGGGGCACATCTGGAACAGCTGGACCAACGGGAGCTGGGCAAATCCTACCCTAACCATGTCAGGTACATCACCAATGAAGTGTGCTAGATAGTGTCCACAGCAAAACATGGGGGGAGAAAAGTGAAAACACTAGTTTAAGACCAGAAGAGCTAAAGGTAACTCTAAATTGTTTTAATTGTGGGCTGGGGATGAGACAAAGGAAATATCATGAAGATATGGCACATAAAAATGTTATTGGTACATGTTCATGCAGCAGTTAGGTTGGAGATGAACACTTCTGCTTGGAAACAGCCAAGTATTGATATCACTATAAACTCAGAATATCCTGATGTTTGAATGTATCTGAAAACAATCAGAACAGTCTAATCTAGCCAAGGCCTATTATAAAGCAGATTCAAAAGGACTGGGAATGGATTGGTCATCTAGAATTACTCCAAGACAGATCAAATTCCTTGAAAATAATCTCTTCACTTTGCACCGTGGAAGGGATAGCAAAGATTAATGTTCTATAGATGGTCATTTGTTCAGTAGCTTATTTCTTACAACAGAGGGACATCCAGCACATTCATTTGGTCAAAAAGATGCTTATAGGTTTTTTTTAAATATATGGTGGCGTACACACTGGGTGTGTTACTTCGTACCGAGACTTTAATACAGGGACATGTAAATATGATAACATAGTTTATTGATAATATTTTAAGACAGCTGAAATGCAGCCTGTGACACTGAAGTTTTCCTCACCAGGAGAAAGGATGCAGATGGCCATGAGGAGCACGTGTTCTTCTTCATGCAGGTTCAGTTTCTTCAGACCAATTTGAAATTTAACGAGGGGCTCCAGTAAGTCTAGGCTGTGGCCAGCTGAAACAGAAACAAAGCAACTTTTCAGAGGCAGGCACTAGATTACTAATTACCAGCTAGCTTAAAACAGGGGAAGAAACAAATGTAAGCATAAATCCTAGCCCTGGATTTTCCTTCCAATGCACCCAATCCTAAGTGCGTCATCCATCTGAGTCGTCATCCCTAAACTGAGCGGAATGCTCAAAGGAACCAAGCTGCCACCAGAATAACGACATCCGCGTTTCGTTAAAACTGGCCCTTTGGCAAACTTAACTCGGACTGGATTCGCCCTTGAGGTGGTGCAATCGTGCAGCGTATGCGATTACTTTTTCAACTTCCTGCTCCTTCCCATCTTAGATCAGATGGTTGCAATGGAAACTGAATTCTTAAGTTCGCACACTTCGGGGGAAACATCTGCCAGCTCAGCAATCTGGGCCCATCGGACAATCCGCCTCCTCATCCCAATTTATTTTTCATGGTGATAAAACAACATTTCCACTGGAAGAACGTGGAGAAACATTTCCATGTGTAGCAGAGTGAACTTTATTTTATGTGGCCCACGGCCCTTCCTTCCTCTAAGTTTCCTAGCCTTCTTTTTTTTCCCCCTACTGGGTACCACCAGAGTCTCTGCGGTGCAGCAAAAAAAAAAAAAGGAGGAGGAGGAGGAGTCTGGAAGCATCTCTTTTAACCGACACATGTTATTAAAAGGCATCCACTTTTGTGAGCTACAGCTCATGCCATCAAATGTCTTTCTTCCCAATTTTTGGGTTCGGGCAAGTAAGAAATCCCTTTTCGTCTCTGAACTTCAAACCCAATACACAAGATTTCAGTCACCTCACCTGGGCCTCATTTCAGGTAGTCCAGACAGGTACTTTCTTGCTTGGCTGCAGCCGAGGGTCACCAGCAGTGGCAAAGCTGGGAACTCTTGCCTTGCCCTGGGGCTCCTCAGCTTTCCCCTCCCCTCTTCCTTTTGTTGAGGAAAACACTACAAGCTTCCTTTGCGGCAGCTGTGTGGAGACCAGGACAAATTCCCTGGGAAGACTGCATTTTGCACACACCCCGTTGGCAAGCTACCGCAGGGGTGTCAAACTCAATTTCATTGAGGGCTGCATCAGCATTGCGGATGCCCGGGGGGGGCGGCCTACTGGGTGGGCGTGGAGTGGGTGTGGCCTACTGGGTAGGCATGGCCAGCTCTACATTGTTCGTGTCAAGGGTGCCTGTGGGGGCCTGGGCAGGAGTGGGACAGATCTGAGGGTCTCTGGCAGAAGGGAGTGGGACCGGGGCAAGCGCCAAGGCATGGTCCATTTCTTCACTCCTCACAAAGGGTGACCCCTCCCCAGCATGCACCCAGGGGGCGGGGCCGACACAGCTGTTTCTAGACAGTCTTGTGGAGCTAAGACTGAATGCGTTTCAGCATAGATGGCCACCACAAAATTGTACATTGGCTCCCGGCCGACCTGAGCCAGGGCCAAGGCAGTGGGGGCCGTTCCCTCACTGTTTCCAGGATGGCTTCGTGGGCCACATGAAACCACTTTGCGGGCCGCATCTGGCCCCCGGGCCTTGTGTTTGACATGTCTGAGTTACAGGGAGCTCTTGTGATCGGTGTTTTGGGGCCTCCTGAAACACTTCCAAGGAAATTTGGGAGTTATTTCTAAGGGCATGCAATGTAAGAATGGTGATGGTGTAAGAAGGGCGTGTCAGTCATACCTGCTGCAATCACATGGTACTGCACAAAACTCTATGCCACACAGGGCAGACGGCAAATCAGGATTAACTGCCAAGGAGTAAGTCAGTATATTTTTCAGTATTCATTATGCTATAAATAGGCTGTACATTGTTAAACAAATGGTAAACACAATTCTCATTCTCGGATACACCACGGTCATTAATTCATTCTAATATTACCAGCTGTAAAGTAATTCATAAAATACTGTATGCCACTATGATTTGCTTCAACCTTAGGTAAGTTTGGGACACATTTTCTATACATCTTCAGAGGCATTTACAAGTACTAAAGGAAAACAGAGCTCCATGAGGTGACTGCTCCAGGGCTATCTTCTGGAAGTTTTTAAGAAGAGACTGGACAGCCATTTGTTCGAAATGGTATAGGGCAGTAATGGTGAACCTTTTAGAGACCGAGTGTCCCAAAACTGGCCCCACCCCTGCCCCGCCCCACCCCACCCTGCCTGCCTGCAGGACCACTCACCGCCTCCAGGGCCCGCCGCAAATCGCCCAGGCAGCCCAGTAGAACCACGGCGGCCACACCCTCTGCCCACACCCCGCTGCATCAACTGTACGCATTGGGGCGTGAGGGCAGAGTCTTGTCTACGCTGCCTGGCTGCCATGTCCTTGCCTGCGCTGCTCCGTGTGGGCCACGTTCAGGGGTGACTCTCCTCCAGGGAGGCTGCTGGTGAGGGGGTCGTGGGCGGAGGCAAGGCTGGGGCAACAGCACGTGTGCCCACAGAGAGGGCTCCGAGTGCCGCCTCTGGCACCTGTGCCATAGGTTCGCCACCACTGGTATAGGGCAGGGGGTTGGACTAGATGACCTCCAAGGTCCCTTCCAACTTTATTTATTTAATAATAATAATAATAATAATAATAATAATAATAATAATAATAATAATAATAATAATAATAATAATAATAATAATAATAATAATAATAATAATTATTATTATTATTATTATTATTATTATTATTATTATTATTATTATGCTTTACCATACAAACCATACCTTGAGTGACATCGTTGATTTGGTATTTGAAGTCATTGCTGCCGCAAGTCCAGGACATATCCTCCAGGGAAAATGATTGATTGGAACGGAGCATTATCACTTCAATGGCACTGGATTTCAGGAGAGCAATCTGGTCCTCCGCTGTTAGACTTCTGTATTTAAAAAAAAGGAAGAATATGCAACTCAAGATTTCAAGCGATCCATCATCATAACATTCTCTAAGATCAGAATTAGAAATGATTATCCTTTATTGCCCGCCATGTTACTATTTCTCTTAGCGTGAACTGATTTTACAGAACAGCTTGGAAGGCCATCCCCAATCATAAGCTCGGTTAACCAATGACAAATTCTAAGTGGATTGCAGACATTTTTGCTTATGGCTCCCTGAAGCCTCAATTGATAGCATATCTATATGAATGAGCGGCACACAGGTCAGACGTTTCTGACAGAACTTTCACGTGTCACTTAACTTGAATGTTTTAGCAACACAGTTCACACACTGAATTAAAAGCCAGTCACAACTGGGCTGTGCGATGGTGTGGATTTGATTAAAGAAAGTTTCTTTGGGGCATGCAAAAGTGATGAGTGTTTCCTGGAATCCTGATACAAATCTTTTGAGGCCGCAAAACGAAATGAATCACAAAAAACTCTAAAATAAACCCACAAGGTTCTAGGCAGGACTTTTGCAGCAGGTAGAGCTCTGCAAAGCAGATTCAACTTTCTCGCCAACTGTGTTACTCATTCACAAAAGCGGCAAACCAAACCTCTGGCCACAGAGTGGTTCTCTGCAGGCATGTATGCACATACACACATACACCTGACATCTTCCCCATCTCTTTGGTCTTACTGAAGATGCCTTAAATAAGAGATGCCTTGTTTGAGGTCTCTACCAGCACTAAGGTGGCCTGCTAACCTTGGCCTCTACAGCAATAGGTTGAGAGAGAAGCCTTCTGTCACCTCCCAAGGAAATAGCCGTTAATGGATTGCAAGGCTTAAAAAGGACAGAGCTGTTCTGAGGTGGTAAGACTTCAGTTCGACTGAGGAATGATAGTATTTATTTATATGGCTTGTGTCAAGATTTTATTTGTTTTTTATTTGCTGTTCCTTTTGATGTGCCTTTGCAGATTTCTGAAGTCTTCTTGAGAGATCTGTGGTGTTGTGCATTGATGTATATATTTATTTAAGCATGACAAAATCAGACACAGATACACACCTCTAAGTAAAAAAGCAGACAAGGGTTTTGAAGCTACTTTTAAATTCCCCTACCTGAACCCTGGAATCATTTTAGCAAATCCAATAACTTTCTGGATGCTGTAGCTGACAAGATCAGCAAGGTGAGGCAACATGGTGAGGTGGGAGAAGTCGATGGACATGGACGCGCTGTCGTCGTTCAACTCCAGGTTGGAAAGCATCATGGGCTCTGGTGGACAAGGAGAGGAAGACACAGATTAGACCAGTGGTTCTCAACCTTTTTAATGCCGCGACCCCAACCAGTCGTAAGTCGAGGACTAAACTGGTCGTAAGTCGAGGACTACCCAACCGGTCGTAAGTCGAGGACTTTCCCTGCCCGGGAGCGCCGCACATGCGTGGTTCCGCCCCCTGCGCCGGCTGAGGCGTAGCTGGCAAACGGCAGAGACGGAGCAGGCCGACCACCAGCTGGCCCAGCCCAAGGGAGGTAAGGTACCCGCCGGAAAAGGGGGAAAAATGGCGGACAAAAAAAATGGCGGACAGCCTTGCTTGGCGACCCCCATGAAATGGTCGATCGACCCCAAATGGGGTCCTAACCCACAGGTTGAGAACCACTGGATTAGACCCTTATATGTCAGACCAGCAGGCAAGGCACCACTCATTACAGCATGACAGGTTAAATGTTTGAGAATTTAGACAGCATTAGTTGGGCTATTTACAATTACTATTTATTATTTTCCGTTGTGTGTTGATTTGCACTGAGAGAGTCATGTTGTGAAGGTGATATTGAGGAGCCATTGCAGTGGCTAGGACTCTACTGTCCCTAGGCTGACTGGAGGCCACTACTGGTAGTACTTCAAGAGGCACAAGCAAAACCAAAGAATCCAAAAGGAGTAATTTCGTTGAGTGAGATCAAAATGTTAAGGCTGTAGGTTTCCTCAGAGTCCAAATCTTGGATCCTATTGACGTGATTAAAAACATGCTCCAGTTTTTTCATTTTAATCTACTGCTCTGTTCTTTCCTAACCACACTTAACAATGGTTATTTTAGACAATACTCATTGCATAACAAATTACACAAAATGCATTACTAAAAGTGCAATCCTTGGCGCAAAAACAAGCTCAAAGCCTGAACACAGAATCGAGGCATGTCCACGATGAATTCCGGTGCTGTTCCTGCAGTGGTGCTCATGCTATTGTCTGCAAAGTTCAAGCTGACTTTTTTCTGCATCATCTTCCTAAATATTCAAAATTATCTATTTATCTCCAGTGTTTACATCACATGCCAATCCTGATGGACTTTGGGTGGGTAACATTGAGATAAAACATTCTGTGCCAAACTCCCCAATACAATAAAGACACACCAGGTGCCTAGGAAGGGCCAAAAGTACATTCAAAGGCAATGTTCATGCTAAGATTTTAGCAGTGTCAATGGGTTGCGATGGATGAGTCTTGTTTTTTTCTACTGGCAGAAATCCCCACCAATCTTCGCCTCCCAGCTCCCAATGCCTCATTCTCTCATTCAGGTATTGTCATGTGCCATAGCCTTCACACAACTGTGGTGCTGCTTTCTTTTTCCCTCCTGCACTGTAAGCAAAAGCAGCACAACAAGGAAAATGCTCCTGACTGACTCTCAGTTGCCACACTTGTTTATTGTTCAGGTAGATGGAGGACAGGCTAGATCTCCATTCATGCAAAAGCTGTGACTGGTCCAATTACAGCCTTTGCAGGAACAGCTCTGTAGGTTATGCAGATGGAACGCTGGCCACGTTGACGTGTCCTCACAAGGCATTTTGGTATGAAGCCAGAGGTAGCATTTATCGTGGGCCCCCTTTGTTATAGAACACTTTCTGAGTTTCCCTACACTTTCTTTTATTTTTTCCACCACACCAGTAAAAAACCGGAGTGATTACACAAGGCAGTTTGGCATTAAGAACTCTCTGAATAGGAATACTCTAAATTTCATAGGATTACGTTAGGTCAGTGATGGCGAACCTTTTAGAGACTGAGTGCCCAAACTGCAACCCAAAACCCACTTATGCATCGTCGGGTGCCGGGTGGGTGTGGCCCATTGGGTAGGTGTGGCCCATTGGGTGGGTGTGGCCCATTGGGTGGGCGTGGCTGAGGTGGTAACGGCAGACTGGGTGGGACTAAGAAGTTCAATCAATCAATTCCAACTTTGCAGGATCTTTTTTTTCCCGTGAGAAGTTGAAATTGACTGATTGATTAAACCTTTTTTTTTTGCACATACAGCGGAGGCCTAAAGTGAAAAGGTTTTATAAAACCCAGCTGAAGGCCTAGGACTGGGGCGACAGTGTGCGTGCCCACAGAGAGGGCTCTGAGTGCCGCATCTGGCACCCATGCCATAGGTTCGCCACCACTGCGTTAGGTCTTCTTGAGGGGGAGAGATTAATAACAGATTAATAAATTGCCCTTCAGCCAGTGATGGCGAACCTTTTAGAGACAAAGTGCCCAAATTTCAACCCAAAACCCACTTATGCATTGCCGGGTGCCGGGTGAGTGTCGCCCGCCGGGTGGACGTGGCTACAGTGATCATGGCAGATGGGTGGGCGTGGCCAGGGTGGGCATGGCCAGCTCGATGTTGCTCCTGGGGAGGGATGCCTGTGGGGGCCGGGCAAGTTAGCAGGCGGCTGGTTGAAGAGGGACGGTTGCCATCTCTGGGGCATGGCGCGCGTGCCCACAGAGAGGGCTCCGAGTGCCACCTCTGGCACGCGTGCCATAGGTTCGCCACCACTGCCTTAAGCGCTTGCCAAACAAGACGCAGGCTGCTTAGCTGCAAGTTAAGATTTGTTGTAAACGTTTCACAAAAAAAACTTCCATCGGTACAAAAAAGGCAACCATAGAATTTGCCATTTAAAAGAAACGTAGCTGTTAGGATTCTTGCTGTGAATATAAAGAGGATTAGCACTCTGCATGTTACCTGAAGAGAAGCTGGAAGTATCTGAAGAGTCATCTGAGAAGGAAAAACCTGGGGTCATGTTAGAAGAAGACCGACTTGTGTGTTCTTGGTCTGAATTTTGTCTTACAGGAGGCTGAAATAGAAATAGAAAGGGTAGCCTTTGATAGGAGCCGACTGCTTTCTTCATACCTTCATCCCGATTCTAGTTACTAGAAAGTTAGTTCATTAACGGAGATCATCTGCTCCAAGGAGAAGGGTGCTCTGAGGCTTTTACCCACTCTACCTCCGTTTATCCAGTCTACTGAATGTTTTTCAACGCCAGGGACCCATTTCTTAGAACAACCGCCAAAGAGAAGACTCGTCTGCTCTGATATCCCATGAATTTAGATGTTTTAATCTCTCCTTTATTTTTATAAATAACTCAAGGCAGACAACATGCCTAATACTCCTTCCTTCTCCTATGTTGCCCTAACATTTTTGATTACTTAATCATTTAAGAAAGCAGGATATTCTGAAGCAAATAGTCCCTGCAACTGCTATGTCATTTGCATAATAACCTTGAAAAAAATGTATGTTCAGCCTCTTGGCTGAAGGTAAAATGCATTTGGTTGCATCTATTCAACCTTCAAGCAGAAGGTATTAGAGCAGGGGTGTCAAACTCAATTTCACTGAGGGGCGCATCAGCATTGCGGTTGCCCTGGGGGGGCCGGGTGGGTGTGGCCAGAGTGGGTGCAGCCTACTGGGTGAGCGTGGATAGAGTGGGTGTGGCCTACTGGGTGGACGTGGCCAGTTCTACATCATTCGCGTCAAGGGTGCCTGTGGGGGCCTGGGCAGGAGTGGGACAGATCTGAGGGTCTCTGGCAGAAGGGGGTGGGACCGGGGCAAGTGCGAAGGCATGGTCCACCGGGGCAAGTGCCAAAATGGCTACCACAAAATTGTACATTGGCTCCCAGCTGGCCTGGGCCAGGGCCAAGGCAGCGGGGGCCGTTCCCTCACCGTTTCCAAGATGGCTTCGTAGGCCACATGAAACCACTTTGCGGGCCGCATCCGGCCCCCCAGGCCTTGTGTTTGACATCTCTGTATTAGAGGCTAATCGTCCTATATTGGAAATACTGGTTTTGCTCAGAAAATATAAACTAATAGAGAGAAGTAAGAGGGAGTCTGTTGGGAAATATCACAAAAACAAGAGTAACTAACCCCAAGTTTTCAAAACTATGAGTAACTATGAGTCATCCGCAGCCAGTTCTCTTTCTTCTTCCATCTAGCTCAGCTGTTCTCCTGATGCCTCATGTGCATCACTCAACCTCAAAGCTGTTTTGCTCTTGTGATGGGGCAGGAAACACTTGTGGTTGCTACAGCCACAAGTACCTTCTTCTTCCTCTTCCCCCCCTCCCCCAGAATTGATAAACCTCATTGTTCAAAGATTTGTGTGTGGCTGAGAAAGGCAGGTTGGACAGATAGAACAATGGGGTCCATCAAGAGAGGCCTGCCACTTGGTTATTCAACTCTGCTTAAGGGGACATTCCCTTCTTTTGTTCTGTCAAGTACATTTTTAACAACAGATTGTGATGAAGCCATATGGGGCAGCACACATAATGCACAGCTATCGCCAACTGAAGTCTAGTCACAAATACACTTAGTAATTTCTCCAAGTAGCGCAGTTGTAAATCCAACTGTGGTCTACTTACAGATGTATTTCATGCTAACGTAGTGTGAAAATAATTTTCAACTGGAGTAGTTCTAAATATGGTGACTTGGCTAGAGAGATTCAATCTGGGACACCGATCCAAATTAAAAAAACACACTGAATGGTTCTTTCATAATAAAAACACAGAAAACCGATGGCAGAAAAAGACCTAGTGGTCCATCAAGGCTGCCCTTTGAGTTTTTGTTTGTTTGTTTGTTATTTATTTATAATCAACTGTAGATTTGTTTAATGATTTGAATCTGCAAGGAATGTTACTTTTGTTAAGTGGGAAGTGGGGCAAGAGTTTGAATCACTAATTCAGAAGTGACATAGTTGAAAAATATCCGTTTGTTCACCAGCAGATGTCCTACTACTCACAACAATAGTAAAGTACTGCAAAAAAAGAAAAAGAAAAAAAAAGTGAGCAGAACTTACCCGGAATTGAGAGAAATCTGAATAAGTAGGATCGTAAGTTTTGCGATGGGCTTCAAGAAGAGTTTCAATGACTCGTTGTTGTTCCTCCAGCAATTTGGGCTTTTGGCTTTCCTTAAGGGCTTCCTCCTCCTTCCTCTTCATTATCATCTCTCTTTTCCTCTGAACCTCTTCATCGGTCAGTATAACTGTAAAGGCAGAATAATAAGCACATTAGAGCAGAGCTTTTCAAACTTTTCACCCATTGTACCACTTTTAGGATATGGCAACATCCGAGTACCACCAGTTGCCTAGCAAGGTATCAAAAATGTGATGACCAAAAAAAGGGAAAAAAGTGATAAAGTACAGGTAGTCCTCGACTTACAACAGTTCGCTTAGTGACTCTTAGAAGTTACAATGGCACTGAAAAAAGTGGCCCCCAAGCCACAGCCGAGCAAGACACCTGCCTGCCCGCCCAGCGACGCTCTTCCTCCTGTCCGAGGTTTTCATTGTTGTGAGGCATTTCTGTTGAGGATTGGCAGCGGGGGTGGGGTGGGGGTGTTTGGTTTTTATTCCCCCTGTCTGCTGGGTGGTTGCCGCAGGTTTTGGTCACTTCACATGACCCTGGGACACTGTGGCCGTCATAAATATGAATCAGTTGCCAAGCATCTGAATGTAAATCAGAAGACCCTGGAGATGCTGCAACATTCCAGCTGATCGGTGCTTCTTCAGGGCTCAGCAGAAGCGCCAGGATCAGCGCCGAGATCCAGGTGGAGCCTGGCGCTGATCCTGGCGCTTCCGCTAAGCCCTGACAGCCCTGCAGCTCCAGCCATCTCTCGCTCAGGCTTGTGCGGTGCTGCCACCGGTTCAGCTCATTCCCCTCCCCCGCTAACACTTTTCTAGGATGGTCGCGTACCACCTGCCAGGTGCCAATGTACCACAGGTGGTACCCGTACCACTGGTTGAAAAGCCCTGACTTAGAGTATAGGTAAGAGTAAACTGGTAGGCTTAACTGAAGAATGAGAGAAGATGACAGCACGTGTTTCCTCAGGGTTATTGTTTATTGGGACGAGAGTGATTTAACAGCCAACAAATGTTTGAAGAAAGAGGAACACTTGACATGGCGAAGGCATTCCAGCTGGACTGCAGTCCAGCTGCTGATCTTCAAAAACTTTAATTTTAAAGTTGCCTTTAAAGAACTCTTTGGCTTCACAGTGACTTTCTTCAATCCAGAAGAACATGAAGCCAGAGGTACTGTTTGGAAGACCTCAGACACATTAATAATTCTTACTGCTATTAAAAAATACACAGCCAACGGTTTTTCTCTTTTCATGGTTGTGCACCACAGTCATTTTGGGGACTGGAGGAACAGTACAACTCAATCATTATCAAAAACAACTTGCAGGCTACTTGGAATGCTGCCTATATGCATTTTGTGACATCAATCCTCCCCACGCTATCTGTGCAACATGTCAATACAGGAAAAGGTTGCTTTTGTGGACTTTCCCTACTTACAATTAATCATGGCACAAACAGCCTCTAGTAATGTGCTCGCATGACATTCCCTACACTTAGTCCCCAGAGACAAGCTCATATTGCCCAATGTTAAAGATGTGTTTTCTTTCTTATTTTGCCAGATAAGGGAAGCCTCAAGGTATGTAGAGTCTCTTAGACCTTGGAGGGAACTTAGGTGAGGGGCTGTTACTGGGAATAGAGGCAATAGAGACTGGCAGTGAGGGCAATAAATATCCTGGTGTGCAGTTTTCTGTCAACTGAAAGAACTGCGATGAGCAGAAAGTTTAGTAGTGGATAAAAGCCTTCATTGCTGAAAATCCAGAAATTACAGTCTGCAAGCAACTGAATATTTCGACAGGGTTTCAGCTCATTCTGGCAATGCTATAGTTAGTAGACACATTGCTGGCAGAAACATTATCGCTTTTATATAAGGTCACTGATGCATTGCACTGACAAGCTTCCAGGCCTGTATGTTTGGCAAACAGAGACAAAAGCCAACTTCAGGAAATGAAAGACAGAAACCAGATTCCTCTAAATACAATTAACATAGGTAGAGAAACATGTTATCAGGTGTGAGGAATCAGAACCACACATTAAATTCCAGTTAAGCTGAATTAGTGCTCATGCCTATACACAAGAATCTGGCCAACTAATGGTCAGCCCTAAATTGGTGCTAGTTAAGAGTTAATGGAATTAAAGGGTCTTGGCACATTTGTGGACACCTAAGGATTCTAGGCTGAGTCCTCTCTTAAGTATATCTCCAGGCTCTATCTACTTTTCTCTTACACATGTATTCCAATAGCATCCAACACTTTTACATTCCTTTTATTTATTTATTTTTACAAAATTTCACAATTAAATCCCCAACACTGATTTATTCATTTATCAGTACTCATAACCCTCCCCAGTTCCAAAGACTCTGGGCAGCATACGTCAAACAAAGCAAAATCATCACCATTATCATCCCAAATAGTCATAAAAAAACAAAAGATAACAGAAAAAAACAAACAAAAAAAAGCAAAGATAAAATCCAAAATAAATCCAAGATGGGCACCAACAGTCAGTTGGGACTGCAATAAAATAGCTCTTAGAGAAATATAGCAAGGTAAGACTTTAATGCATCAGACTTCGGGATAATCTATTTTTCCATCCATCCATCCATCCATCCATCCATCCATCCATCCATCCATCATCAGAATAGCACATGGACATTACTGTATCTTGTATACTAAAATGATAGAGATGAGTTAGTTTTCAAAGATAGTTGGGGAAAAATACAGCGTGGTAGCTTCATATGGGAAACCTTAGTTTTGGAACATTGGAAATTGGGGGTGGGTGCGTTCTGTTTCAACTTACCTATTGATAGCTTTGAGCAATTTCAATACCTGGATATTTTTATTTTTTTTTAAAAAAGACCCATGACACATAATGAGAAAGATTACAAAGCATCCTGAATGCTAAAAGCAGTATAAAGGTCACCCTGCAATTTAGGATGTATAGGCAGAGCTGAGCAAGCAGAAGGCTGTAATACAAATCAGTCCCTTTTTATGCAATAGCTGCAAGCCTTATTTTGGCATTTAGAATGAGGTGTTGAGAAAGATCTCTACTATTCTGAGGAACAGGAGTCTGACTGCAACTTTACTCTTCCTATGACGTTCCTAATCCTGGGAGAATTCTTGCAACCAAGTCTCTAGTTTGCTTCTTTTAAGTATAAGGCATACTATAAAGAGTAGCTCTCATATATTTTGGTCTCTGGATCCTTTAGATTCTTAAAAAGGATTGATAACCACAAAGAGCGTTGGTTTACGTGGGTTATATCTATCAATATGTACTATATTAGACATAAAAACCAAGAGGTTTTAAAATATTCACTTATTTAATTTTGTAGACCCTCTGGAAAAATCCTGGGGGAAACTTTGAACCACTGCTATAAAGAATGGTGCAGTGTCGCAAATGACCAGGTATTATTTGTTTACTTGCTTAATTAACCTTTTATGGAGCCCCAATCCCAAATTTCTCAACTGGTATAAAAGCCCAAGCAAACAATAAATACATTCCAACATCTGGGAGCTTTCATGGTTATACTGTCCACCATTAGGGGCAGTTTGATGGGATGTGAATTAGAGAGGGCAATTACTCTTGGGTTCTTTTTTGGTTGGCCCCTGTGGGAAAAGAACCTTTGGTTTGATCTAACTGAGTCCCATGTGACATTCTTATTTCAGAACCGACCGCTATTGCTTCAGATTCATTTCAAAACGACAGCGGTATAGTTTTTAAACTAGGCTGAGCTTTTTTCTTAGAACCTCTGTAGCTGGATGTTTGAAATGTGGAAACGGAGGTGGTTAGTTGAAGGAGGCCCTTAAGATTCAGTCTGCAGAGGTCACCAGGATACTCTTTATCCTGTCTGGTCTTCTCTCCTTCCCTGCTGTCCTCCAGAGTCAGCGCAGGCCCATAAAACACGAGATAGAGAAATTGCTGCGTTGGCACTCTTGTGTAAAACCTATTTCAATGCCATCCTTATTACATCTTATCTTCTCTTTTCCAGTTTATGGCACCATCAAAAGAAGTCCAGTAAGTTCTGGATCAGAGATCCATACTTCTTGTACTCTTAGGGTGGTAATGTGTATATAAGAGAAAGAGCACTGGGTGAAAGGCCATTAGTCTGGCTCCTTGATTTAGAACTTATTTCAGATCACAGGGAGCTAAGAGATCAACCCCCTCTCTAGTCAGCAGGCTGTTTACCAAGAAGCTTCTTCAGAGACGTTTTCTCTGAAACAGACAATATTATTTACAGGAAACTTGCACAATACGGTCGTGTGCATCCAACATTTCTAAAGGAAGTGAATGTGAAGCGTTAGGTGCCTGAGAAATCAATGCCACATCCGGATGGCTATTCCCTACTGTCACAATTTCTTCCCATTAAACTCAAGTGTTTTTCTGCACACCTCCTAAGATCTGTCAGATAGTCAAAATCATTTTGGTCTTTTCTTTTTTTTTTAAATGGAATTGAAAACTTAAAAAAGAAGAAAAAAAAAAGAAAATCTATCCACTATGTATAAAGCCTTTCTTAGCATTCCCTTGCCTTCCATGAAATACCTATTTTCCTCTATAAGGTAAATTGTAGAACAAGCGCAGCTTGAAGTTTGAGTTTAAACAAATACAATCAGATCATGTGGAAGTGCTATATAAGGGGGGGGGAGAAAGACAGCAAATGTTTACTTTTTCTGATTCATGCTGATCTATTTACTTATCTTTTTATTGCATTTCTATGTGCCCTTTGCAGAGGATATTGTCAAAAAAACCTCGATTTACCTTCTGGTCAATGAGGAGAAAATATTATTCTGGACACCTGCACCCTATCCACTCTCTACACGCATTTTGTTGGCATGCAGGGACTGCTGTGGGGTTAGTTGCAAGGGGAGGCTGGTTTGGGATACTATGAATAAATGTTATCAGATAGTCTCCACAGCTTTGTCTTCCTCTTAGCAGCAGTTCTGTGCTAAGCAGCAAATCCTGAGAAAGCAACGTTCCAGCAAGCCTTATGAACTACACAGCATCCCAGCAAAAACTGGAGGAGTAGCAAGAGCACAACATTTCTTCTGCAGATGTTTTGGTGTCATGGAGTAGGGAAATGGCGCACACAGTCCCCACCCTGGGAAAAACAGATAGATGCTCACCAACACAGGTCAGCTCC